TACTATATTACATACTTGTATTATCTCTGAGCTGTGCAGCATCTCTCTCTGTGTTATGCTAACTCGTAGCTACCTGGCTATCTCCTGGTGGTAGTCGTACTCCTCGCTCTCCTCCACCCAGTCTAGGGCTCCGGTGGTGGGGTTGGCTCTGCCACAGAAGGTCTTCATCTCTGCCTCAACTGCTATAACACTCGGGTGAAATGTACGCCTGAATAAAACCTGTTTTACAACACTACTCTACACAAATCTAAAAAGTAAACTGATTTACAGAAACAGCGTTGCCCCCATGGAGGCGGCCATCTTTCTCAGCGACGTCACACTCTTGCGGTCACGTGACTGGCCTCTTTTTTTGGCTTTATTAACAGGAAATAAAGTAAATACTGAGAGTAGCATGTTCTTATTATACATCCATGGTAGCATGTTCCTGCAATTCCGGAGGCTGCAGCTGGGTGTTATTGGCAGCTTTTTTGATTCTCGTGTTGCTAATAAAGCCTGTATGGATCAACTCTCCTCTATTTTCTTCCCCAGACCCTCGGTTCTTCCACACTGGCGCCTGGTTACGGGTCACTGTGCGACTCAAGCTGGGTGAGTACCATGAATTGATGCCTCGGATATGAGTGTCGGCCTGATTCTTCGGGGCACTCTACAGCTCAATGCTGATATGGATTGGAGTCGGAGCCCCCCTTCTCCCGGTAAATTGAATTTACCCAGTGGTGTTGAACGCAGAAGGAGCCTCCCATCCCAAAAAAAAGCGTACCTTTCAATAGATTTGAATCGATTTCAATCTGCTTGTGTCTCCACAGGCTTGACTGATTGACGTCCATTTCAAGATGCTGACCGAATGCCCGCTGTGTCGCATGCAATACCGCGCTCTCCAGAGGCACTTGGTGGTCAGGCACCTAGTCCTCAATAAAGATGAACGCAACATTCTCCTACGCATGTCCAATGGAAGAATTAACATTCGCTTGGAGCCCTGCTCTGTTGTTGGTTGTTCATACCATGGCACCAGGCTGGACCGGCATATCGATTGTGCTCACCCGGAGCTCAGCCAAAAAGAAGCAGACTTGGTACTGCAAGAACTGAAACGCAAGACGGGGCTTAAAATGCTGAAGGAGCTCCGGGAGATAGACCCCCCAGTACAAATGATAATGACACTGGATGTCGAAGATGGTGCTCATGATGAACACCCAGACTCCTTTTCCGGGGAAGTTGGCCTCGAAGCCGATGAACACAGACTGTTAAGGCTGGGAAACGTCGCACTGGTGGCTCAAACTGACGCCCTCAATAAAGAGGTGTTTTTTCTAAGAAACAAGCTGAAGCAGTGGAAGGCTTCCAGTGCCAAGAGGGACCTCCGTAGCTCGTTAGAGAGTCCACCAGCTGAACGCATTACATTCCAGCAGCCAGAAAGGCCAGCTTCCTCCGGCAGAAGAGCCTCAGTCGCCACAGGCAGACACACCCCCTTGGTTGAATTCGGCAGGCCTCAATCGAAAGACGCTGATGATGAAGAGTCTAGGGGCGAAGGATTACGGAGACCGATGTCAGCCCCCCCCAGTGTAAACCAAATAGACTTCTCTGAAGCGTCTCGGCGGCGAGCAACCATGCCGAGTTCCTCGGGGGTGAAGTGCACATCCAAGCAGAAACACACATCATAGGAGCATGGTGCCGTCTCTAAGAGGGCCCGTGATGAGGGTCAGGGTGTTGTGGGAACCAGGCGGAGATCAGCGACACCAAGTCTAACAGGCAGAAGCAATCCAGTCGCAACAGGCAGATATACCCCTGTATTGCTCGAAGCTATGGAGGACACCGCTGTGAACGCCATAGGGGCCAAAGTGGCACCTAGTGATGAGCGGCAGGGGGACCAGGAGGACTTGGAGGACCGGGAGGACTCGGAGGACCGGGAGGATCGGGCCATGGCTGACATGGATGAGCCGGAGATGGCAATGGAAGTCACGGAGCTCCTCATGGGTATGATGGGTGTTGGAGCCAATTTGCTTTGGGTTGTGCACGGGGTTTGTCTATGTGTGTGTGAACGCGTCCTCATCCAATCTGCGCACCTGGGAGCATGGGAGGTAATTAACCTATATATGTGGGCACGGTTGATCAGCTGGGATGAGAGGTTAGAGAGGAAGCCACACGTTTTTTAACCGTGTTGACCGTGATTGTTTGTGTCTGAGCGTGTGCGTGATCGCTATGTTTTAACCAAGATTTTAGATAGGCCTACGTGAGTCGTAAAAGAACATTTTAACCTTGGAGAAAGAAATAAAAGCATTACAAATTACGTCATGGTGGACCTCATCCTTCACCACAACACGCGTTGGGAACTCTGACTGCTAACCTCCATGAGTGGCCTTTTTTGATGTGCGATCGCCGCTACACTTGTTGAAAAACACGCTCCAATGAATGAATCAAAGGATCTCGGACACGGAAGAAGGAGCTGCTGCAGCTCCAGATGATTGCTGACATGTGAATGCTGTGAAAGCCACGCGGAACCACGGTAGGATCGTTCAGAATTGTTACAAGCTGTGAATGAGATTGACCTTCTCATATCAGGATAAAGGTAAATCCTGCGACAATTCTAAAATAAAACCTCCCGCAGCTGCTGCGTTACTGTCAAAATGAGCCAAGAAGGGAGTCGGCCTAAAGCGCCTGCCAATCAAAGTGATACAGAGAGTGGGCTCGGTAAAAGACAGCCTAAACTCACTGTTAAAGCATTGAAATCAAAAATAGCATCAATTCAAAATGAAAGGAATTCAAGGATAAAGAAACTGCATAAATTAACAAAGGATGTTGAACAATTGATACTTTCAAGCCAAAATGTGTCTGAGGTGGAATCCATGTGTGAAATGTTTGTGAAAACAATGATCGAATTAAATGAGTTGCATGAGTCACTGAAACCATTAATACCAGAGGATGAAGTTATAAAACAAAATGAATGGTTTGAAACACGAATGCACAGCAATCGAGAAATGATGAATACAATGAAAAGGTGGTTGCAAACTACAAAGGAGCAATTTACACATGCAATTGATGATGATGTGGTAAATGTCAATGCTGCAACCAAAACTAATGTGGTAATTGATGATATCTGTCCAAATGACAGCGTTTCTAATATAACCGGAAGAACATGCACATCAGCTGGCCGCTCCAGCCACAGGTCCAAAATGTCATCCATCTCGTCTGGATGTATCAAGGCGGAGGCTGAAGCGGCTGCTCTCAGTGCTATGGCGGCTATCCTCAAAGAAAAACATGCACTGGAGTGTGAAGAGCATAGCCTCGCAGCAGCCAGAAAGTGTGAAGAGGAGCAGATCAGACAACGCAAGGAGTGGCTTGAATTGCAAAGTGGAATTGCTGCCTATACAGCAAAGGCCAATGTGCTCAGGTACAGAGGATCTGAGGTTCAAAGCTCAAGGGCTGATTCAAATGGAATGAATTCATATCGAGACAGAGCCAAAAGGAAAATCTCTCTTAGACCCTCTGCTACAGAATTCATCCCACAAGGTTCAGAAGGTCAGTTCAACCCCTCACCAAAAGGGGGCGGCAGAGCTGTAGTGTCAGTGGAGACTCTGCACAAGGATGCAAACTTGCAGTACCATAATCCTACAGAACAGGATAAGAACTTTGCTCTGTCAATGGGTGCGCGCCCCAAAGATTCAAACCAGCAGTTGCATCATCCATCAGTAGGTGGCAGTAACACTCTATTGCCAATGGAGGCATTCACAGCCACGACAATACCAGAAGGAAATGGATCTAAAGCCTATGAACTCAATCCCACGTCATCTCAAATATGTCAGCAGACATTCTCTGCCACACAAGTCACTCATGATCTTGACACACATTTGGTGCAGGAAACCAACCAACATACAGGTTCAGTGCAAAGTAACGTGAATCAAGGCAACATTATCAACATCATGCAAAGACAAAATGATATCACAGCTCTGTTGGTGCAGCAACAGTCAACATTGTCACTGCCACCAAGAGAAGTACCAACCTTTGATGGAGACCCTTTGGAGTATAGTGCATTCATACGAGCATTTGAACATGGAGTGGAAGCAAAGACTGCTAACAATGTTGATTGCCTATACTTTTTGGAACAATACACCAAGGGACAACCCAAAGAATTGGTTAAAAGCTGTCAACACATGCCACCCGACAGGGGATACCAAAGAGCAAAGACACTTTTGAGAGAACGCTTTGGAAATCAACAAATAATAGCCACTGCATACATGGAGCAAGCGCTTGGATGGACAGTGAAAGCAGAGGATGTTAAAGCTTTGCAAGCTTTTTCTTTGTTTCTCCGTGTTTGCTGCAATGCCATGGAGGACATAAGCACTTGTGTTTTAATACTTGCACTTTCACTTTTAAATGTATTTTATGCATGGTTTTAACTAACAGAACTGGAATCACTTTTAAATTAACCATTTTAGATCCCCTTCTCATTTAAGGTCTTTTACTGATTCCATTGGGACGAGCTCCATACACGCACACAACACCTGCACACGCATGCACACACGTATACACACACACACACACGCCCCCCTCCAGAGACCCTGGGTTGGGGAGATCTGCTTTTTAACATACTCTGCCGCCGTTCCGTGGTCCAGCCCCGTCCTGCACTTTCTAACCAGTCTTTTAAAACGGTCTTACAGTGCTTTTATAATGCTTTTTAAAAAGGGTTTTTATAAGGTCTTAATAGGGCTATGTTTATGGAGTTTTTTTAAACTTCGCTCTCCCACGTGTGTGTGTGTGTGTGTGTGTGTGTGTGTGTGTGTGTGTGTGTGTGTGTGTGTGTGTGTGTGTGTGTGTGTGTGTGTGTGTGTGTGTGTGTGTGTGTGTGTGTGTGTGTGTGTGTGTGTGTGTGTGTGTGTGTGTGTGTGTGTGTGTGTGTGTGTTGGAGCTATGTGCAGCTCAAGGCATATATGCCTGTGTGTATGAGCTGTGTTGCACGCACTATCCGTGCTGAGTGTGCTGTCTGGCTACCTGCATAGCGTGTGTGTGTGTGTGTGTGTATGTGTGTGTGTGTGTGTGTGTCATTTAAACTCAAGAACATGAATGGAGGCTGTTATATCCGTGCAAACGACCTGAAGTACAACCACACCGACCTCACCTGGCAGAACCTGGAGCAGACCTGCAGGTACACCTGAGAGACTGTGTGTGTTGCAATACTCTGACACGCATACAAAAGTCCTGCATTTAAAATGATGAAGTCTCTCATAAGCATTGCCCCATACCCCTTACCCCAAACAATTACCCTAAACATAGCCTTAGGTCTGAGGTGTTTGAGCACGGTCTCGTTTGAACCGGCTCAGAGTATGTCGTTTGACCCCTCTGTTCTACCTAATGTCAAAGGTCAAGCATTAAAACAGGAAATGTGATATTCCAAAAGTGCTATTTCTGCATCTCTATCACTTTCTGAACATAAAAGTCAAAGTGTGTGTGTGTGTGTGTGTCTCTCTCAGGTGTGTGTGGTCATCGCTTCGTTAAACTCTACAGAGCATTTAAACTCAAGAACATGAGTGGACGCTGGTATATCCGTGCAAACGACCTGAAGTACAACCACACCGACCTCACCTGGCAGAACCTGGAGCAGACCTGCAGGTACACCTGAGAGACTGTGTGTGTGTGTGTGTGTGTGTGGCAATACTCTGACACACATACAAAAGTCCTGCATTTAAAATGAAGAGGTCTCTCACGCCCAAACTCTTTAAACCCAAGCATAACCCCAAGAGACTACATACGAATCTCCCGGCGCATAGGAAGGTCTGAGATATTTGAGCACTGTCTCGTTTGAACCGGCTCAGAGAGTAAATGTCGTTTGACCCCTCTGTTCTACCTAATATCAAAGGTCACAGCTTAAAACAGGACAAAACCTTCCGTTAAGGTTTTTATCTCAACACGCCCATTGCCCTGCATGCTAGGCAGTCGAGACTATGCTTTTTAGCCTCGGCTCGATTTGTAGATATGATTTGAAATGTCGTTTGTACCCTAAAGCCACTCCAAAGTGGATATATTTGCTCTGCTGCATCCCCTGTAAACACACACACTGTGCTCAATTTGGGGGAAAGATTTGGCACCCTCCTGTGGGAAACAGAGTATTTCTTCCACTTCCACTTAATGACCCCATGATGTGATTATTTATATCTTAAAACCTTTAACAACTATATTTAGATGTTCATTTGTTTAAGTTATGTTAAGCCTTACATGTATGCATACATTAGGGCATGGTCACATTGAGTGACAGGTCTGTCCAGTGACTGCAACTGTAAGCTTCCTGTCTCTCTGCTAGCAGCTCTGTGATGCTACAGGGACTCTGCCTGCTCAGCTCATACGGGGGACATAACTTGAACTCGGCCGTGTTTGTTGTGCTGGTATCGGACCATTGTACTGATATGTGTGTAAATGTTTGGCCTTTTATAATAAGACCTCAGAGTTTCATTATTCTGCTACATTTTCATGATGACTGAGTGATTCTGATGAGGAAACCAAAGTTGCTTTATAGTGATATTGACTTTACATTTTTATTTCAGTCAAGCACGGTCCTAATTGAGCGCTCCACCCCACCATCGTCTCCATCCTCTGTGGAAGAGGTATTTACAAACACCTTCAATGTTGTCGATTGCAACTGCTAAAGTCAGCACGATAATAGCTGTTTTATTTTAATAGGAGGAGGAGGAGGAGGAGGAGGAGGAGGAGGAGGAGGAGGAGGAGGAGGAGGAGGAGGAGGAGGAGGAGGAGGAGGAAATTGTTGTAAATAAAGTCTAGATCACACCATGTAATTGTCTTCTGCCTCTTCACTGTTTGCCCAAATGTCACACACACACATATAGGCCAGGCCCGGGGCCCAAGCTATCACCCAGAGCATGTCTCGTATCCATGCCCACCTCATAGCGGGGTTTAATAAAAGAAGGGAGGAAAATGTAATTTCTCGGATGAGAATAGGGCATACAAGTCTCAATCATACATTAAGTATAATAGCAAAGCATCCAACCGGAAAGTGTATACACTGTAGCCAGCCAGAAACTGTTGAACATGTTTTACTGCATTGCAGGAAATATAGTACTCAAATGTGCTTTTCCAGACACTGAAGAAAGCAAAATACAATGACTTTTCGCTATCAGGGCTGTTAGGGAAAACATCAGACAATATGTATTGTGAGATTATTACGTTTCTAAGAGAAATTGATACATTTAAAATAATCTAAAGTTGTGGTTCTTTTTTTTGTTTTTATTTATTGTTATCTGCATAGTCTCTTGTCCACACTCCAGTCCAGTTGGTGGCGGTAATGCACCTACAAATTGGTTTGCCAACCGCCAATAAACACCAAAGAAGAAGACGAAGCTTCGTGATGTTAAAGGCGCACTCGGGGAACCCAACTTGAACGTGTTCTTCATGCTTATCGGACTATCGTGACTCGCTCTGCGGTTAAAACAGACGGTGCAATAATGTGGTTTTGCGGTAAGTGAAATTCTAGTACTTTATTTATGTGTTTTTGATCAGTGACGTAATGAATCGTAAGGCTTGGGTTAGCGTGAGGTAGTCGTCGCTAGCTACATCCGTGCTAACGATGCTAATCGTAGCCTCCAAGTTGAATCGAAATAGAGAAGTGTTAAGTGGGATAATACTGTAAAACAAACGGCTTCTGTTTGAGGTTGGTAAAATAAGGTCATCCTTGTAAGTTAGAGAGATATTTGATTATGTAGGTAACTGCATGCATCGCTAAGGTTAATTTAAATTCGCTATGCTCGAGTATGTAGGCAAGCTGTCACGATCTGTCTGTGTTGTGTTTTGTCTTGTCTTTTTCTGTCTCTGGTTCCTGTTTTGTTTTGAAATGTTTTCCTCCTTGTGTCTTCTCTGTTCCTTCTTCCTGTGTTTGCCTTCCTGTCTTAGTTTCCCTGGTGTGTCTGATTGTTTGATTGTGTTCACCTGTTGCCCTTGTGTTTCTGCCTCCCTTACCCCAGCTGTGTCTCGTCTTGTGATTACCCCTCTCTGTATTTAGTCTTGTCTTCCCCTGTGTGCCTTGTCGGTTCATTGTTGGTTTTTCCTGTCTTCCTCCATGTCAGTCATGTTTGTTTCTCCTGTCTCCCACCATGTTGGTCACGGTCAGTTTTCTGTAGAACCTATGTGTTTCATGCCATGCAATTGTTAAGCTTTGAGAATAAAGCTTGTTTTTGTTTCGAGACCGTTTACCTTTTCTGATAGTCTGCATTTGGGTCCTACCCTTCCACGCATTCCTTACAGAATGAACCGACCAATTATGGACCCAGCGGATTATGTTTTTGATTTTGATGCTGAATTGCTTTCTCTGGATTACTCCCTTCGATGTCTTTATACTGTGTGGAGTGGAACCTCGACTAGCAGGGAGAAAGAGGCTGTCCTGAAAAGAGCACAAATGGAGGTGGATAATGTGCCATGGCTGAGGAGTTCGTTGCCTGAATTTCTCAGAGTTTTTTCGCGTAGCCCTGAGTGCCAGTCTCCATTCTCTGATCCTTTTTTGGGATCCCGCCTGGCGTTTGGAGGTCCACGGAGCCTCCAAAAGACCTCAAAGAGACGCAAGGCCAGGATTCAAGCCGTGGCCCCAGCAGCCATGGTTCCATGCCCAGCAGCCAGGGTGCCTGCTCCAGTACCGGCCCACACAGTCATGGTTCCGTGCACCAGTACCGCCCCACACAGTCATGGTACCGTGCTCCAGTACCATCCCACACAGCCATGGTTCCGTGTTCCGGTTCCGTGCCCAGCAGCCAGGGTGCCTGCTCCAGAACCGGCCCATACAGCCATGGTTCCAGCCCCAGTTCTGGCCCCAGCAGCCATGGTTCCGGCCTCTGTTCCGGTCCAGCACGCCATTTCCCATCAGGGAAATCTTCTGGGCCAACATGAGCAGACGATGCGAGCCTTAGTTGAAAGCCAGCAGTCCTTGGCTCGTCTCCTGTTGGCTCTACGGCCGACGCCTACCCTATGTCCTGTGCCGTTGGAGGTCCCGCCGACTACTCTCCTGCCGGGGGTCTTGCCAACTCCATGTCCTGTCCCATTGGGGGTCCCGCCGACTACTCTTCTGCCGGGGGTCCTGCCAACCCTATGTCCAGTGCTGTTGGAGGTACCGCCGACTACTCTTCTGCCGGGGGTCCTGCCAACCCTATGTCCAGTGCTGTTGGAGGTCCCGCCGACTACTCTTCTGCCGGGGGTCCTGCCAACCCTATGTCCAGTGCTGTTGGAGGTCCCGCCGACTACTCTCCTGCCGGGGGTCTTGCCAACCCGATGTCCTGTGCCGTTGGAGGTCCCGCCGACTACTCTTCTGCCGGGGGTCCTGCCAGCCCTATGTCCGGTGCTGTTGGAGGTCCCGCCGACTACTCTCCTGCCGAGGGCCCTGCCAACTCCACGTCCAGTATCGTTGGAGGTCCTGCCGACACCTGTTCCGCTGTGGGTCCTGCCAACCCCATGTCCTGTCCCGTTGGGGGTCCCGCCGACAACTGCTCCGCCAGGTTTCCTGCCAACACCAGATCCTGTTCTGTTGGGGGTCCCGCCGACACCTGTCCCGCCGGGGGTCCTGCCAACTCTGTGTCCTGTTCCGTTGGGGGTCCAGTCGACACCAGCCCTTGCTACATCCGGGGTCCCATTGACACCAGCCCATGTCTTGTTTGGGGTCCCGTCTGCGCCTGTCCGGTCGGCTCCGGTTCCTGTCCGGCCGATACTGGTTCCTGCTCGTCCTCCGGAGCTGTCCCGTCGGCGCCTTCCTGCCCGGCCTCCGGAGCTGTCCCGTCGGCGCCTTCCTGCCCGGCCTCCGGAGCTGTCCCGTCGGCGCCTTCCTGCCCGGCCTCCGGAGCTGTCCCGTCGGCGCCTTCCTGCCCGGCCTCCGGAGCTGTCCCGTCGGCGTCTTCCTGCCCGTCCTCCGGAGCTGTCCCGTCGGCGCCTTCCTGCCCGTCCTCCGGAGCTGTCCCGTCGGCGCCTTCCTGCCCGTCCTCAGGAGCTGTCCCGTCGGCGCCTTCCTGCCCGGCCTCCGGAGCTGTCCCGTCGGCGCCTTCCTGCCCGGCCTCCGGAGCTGTCCCGTCGGCGCCTTCCTGCCCGGCCTCCGGAGCTGTCCCGTCGGCGTCTTCCTGCCCGTCCTCCGGAGCTGTCTCGTCGCCGCCTTCTGGTTCGCCCTCGAGCCCGGCCCCCTGAGTGCCGCAGTCTTCGCCCTCGAGCCCGGCCTCCTGAGTTCTCCAGCCGCGGTCTTCGCCCTCGGGCTCGGCCTCCTGATTCTTCCAGCCGCTGCCTTCGCCCTCGAGCCCGGTCCCCTGAGAGCCGCTGCCTTTGCTCTCATGCCCGGCCCCCTGAGTTTGCCCGCTCTGGCCGTCGCCCCTTTTTGGACTCTGCCTTGCCCCCGGGCCGTCCGCCCGGGACCCCTTTCGGGCCCGTCCTCCGGACCCCCTCCACCCACCCTTTTGGAAGTATTAGACTATGTTTTTTGGGACGTCTGGGATCCGTCCCTTGAGGGGGGGGTTATGTCACGATCTGTCTGTGTTGTGTTTTGTCTTGTCTTTTTCTGTCTCTGGTTCCTGTTTTGTTTTGAAATGTTTTCCTCCTTGTGTCTTCTCTGTTCCTTCTTCCTGTGTTTGCCTTCCTGTCTTAGTTTCCCTGGTGTGTCTGATTGTTTGATTGTGTTCACCTGTTGCCCTTGTGTTTCTGCCTCCCTTACCCCAGCTGTGTCTCGTCTTGTGATTACCCCTCTCTGTATTTAGTCTTGTCTTCCCCTGTGTGCCTTGTCGGTTCATTGTTGGTTTTTCCTGTCTTCCTCCATGTCAGTCATGTTTGTTTCTCCTGTCTCCCACCATGTTGGTCACGGTCAGTTTTCTGTAGAACCTATGTGTTTCATGCCATGCAATTGTTAAGCTTTGAGAATAAAGCTTGTTTTTGTTTCGAGACCGTTTACCTTTTCTGATAGTCTGCATTTGGGTCCTACCCTTCCACGCATTCCTTACACAAGCTAATGTCAAATAGTGTTAAATAGCAGCTTAGTGTATGTGAAATCAACCTCACAATAAGATGTGTGTGTATATTACAATTATTAATGTCATATTTCAAGATGATTACTATATTACAATATGGTTTGTTGAGCTGGAGTTCATTATTGAGCTTACACGTTAACGTCAAATCTGAAGAACGAACCCAAACCTTGTTTTTATTAATTGTATTACCAAATTGGTATCAAATAAATAGTAAGTATTGTAATACCAATGCTTACTATTTATTTGATTTTCATTACACTTGTGAAACCGACTAATTTGTGGCTGTAGACCGTAATGCCTGCATTTAAGGACGATGAATAGCCTAGTCAATGCTTTTAGGGATGATTTGTTACAAATATTAGATCAGATGTTATGTGTGCTTCAGTTAAAATTAAGCTTATTCATTGCATTTCATTTGTTCTTCCAAAGTTACAGTAAAATAAAAAGGACCCTGACTCGGACAATACACAATGCAACATGTTCAACAGAAGACAATCAGTTATATTTTTTGTACACATGGTAATTTACATATATATCTGTTCGTTTAACGTTTCCAGGTGATCCAGACAGCCTTGACCAGAGAGTGAGAGACAGAACTGGACTCCTCACAG